GGCCTACAACATACAAAAGAGGTGCTTTTTCTTCCATATTACATATTTACCTTATAAGTGGTATAAATATTAATAAACAAAAAGTTCAGAGCTCCCTTTATTTTGCTTCCAAGTCGTTTATTTTAAATTTAAGGTTTTTTTACTCAAACTTTCGTTTATTTTAAATTTAAGGTTTTTTTACTCAAACTTTCGTTTATTTTAAATTTAAGGTTTTTTTACTCAAACTTTCGTTTATTTTAAATTTAAGGTTTTTTTACTCAAACTTCCTTCTTAAAATAAAGGTGCGTGTTATATGCTGATAAATACAGTATTAGTTTTGCCAGCTTTCATTATTTGACTTTTTAAAATACTGTACTCCGTGATCCCTCCACATTTTTGGTGTGAGTGGGGGACACACAATGCTTAAAGGAGCCCATCTGAGAAAATCCAAACTCCCTCCTAATGCAGTTAGAAATTAACATTTCAGAGGGATTGAAGGAGTCCTAAAGGGAGAGCAGAAGGTGATAGGCTGATATTTGTGGGGAGGGATTGTGGGGAGCACATATTACCACTTAATTCAATGGCGAACAAGCAATAACAGTATCAGTACAAGTAAGGCGATTTTTCACTGACATAAAAATGTATTACTAAGGAAAGTGAGAGAGAGGCTATTGGAATGAAACGGAGCTGAAAATGCCCCACTTCTTACCCTTCCGGAGGCCCACGGGCAGGCCTCAGGAAGGCAGAAGCCCTTCTCAGTGAGTTGTCTAGGGAGAACCAGACAAGTATGCACAACCAAGCAGCCTTTGGGGAGTTTTTAAGAAAATCTGCTGATCTGCTTGCTCCAAGGTGCAACAGCCCTATTTCTAGCAGTTTCTCAGTTCCCTCCCTGTACTGCCTTGCTAGGAACAGCGCAACCAAAGAGAGTCTTGTTCCAATGGCACTGCTAGAAAACGAAGGATTTATCCTCCTCACCTGATAATGCTCACCTGTTGCCACTAGATGGACAGATACAATTTATTGATTAGTCAGTTGACCAAATCAAAGCACGGGCATCAGCCACAGTAAAATGAGATAAAATAGACTATGGTGAGGTAACATAGAATAAAATATAGTAAGGTAAGATAAAGTAAAGATAAAAGAGTAAGATAAAATGGTATAAGATAGAATAGAATGCAGAGATACATAATAAGATAAATATTAAAATTCTAACACTAGTCCACTTTAAAATGCACTACTTTTGGCTCAGACCCCCTTTCGAAAGCTTTTTTCTTTTGCCAGGCAATGTGCCACAAAGTACATTAGAAGGAATCAACTTACATCGGCTCTACAACATTAGGTTAGCCACTGAGGGAAGATGTATATCAAGTTTCCATTAATTAGGAGGAATTCAGCTGCTGTTCTCACCCTCCAAAATAGTTTCCATGATGCTGTGAATAATATCCATAGCTTCTTCTGATATGGCATTGTGTAGGCAGCATATTCTCTACAAACAGTTCTCTCCCTACTCACCAGGACAAAGAGATATCTCTCTGGTGGACCACCATGGTGATGACCAAAAATGGATGTCTGCTCAGCCAAAGTAGTATGGAGACTGCGGGCCTCTTGAGGGTGGCGGAGAGATTCATATGAAGTACTGGAAGTTACAGTGAGTAGCCCATCTGCTTCAGCTTTGAATCCTATTTTGAAAAAATATCATTCATCTCCCTATTTCATTCAGAATAACCCACTAAGTGATCTTTCCCTATTGTATTACAAACATATACATATACAAACATATTTCACTGGATTTCAGATTGCTATTTAGACATTCTGGAACATGTAAAAAGCCTTCATCTGACACCAAGGGATCCTCTGAAGAAGATATTTGATAATCAAGGTGCTACCAAAAAAAAGGCCTCCATGCTGTATAATCACCACCTTACTTTAACTACCATAAAACAAGCCATAGAAAAGAATCTTACAGTTCAGATAGGTACAGCCTACAGCAAGGGAAAGCACCAGGACATCAATTGCACCAAAAATGGTGTCTGCCATCCTCCCAACTGTATTGAAATCAGAAATAGTTTGCAATGGCCTTCATGAATCCAGGGAGATTGTGGAGGAGACGGGTGGCATTTGTGGTTTGGAAAGGTCCAAGAAATCTCTACCCAAACTACTTAGGTTTTCAGTGTCATGATGTACAGAGTTAAAGCACAGGGGATAAAGCACTGGTAGAAGCACTGCTGTCTAGACTAGTCCCAGGATATAATCTTACAGCCCTGTATAGGAATAGCTGAAATTTCTACAACTCCTTCCTCCAATGCACCAAGCCTTACAGTAACCCAAGCATGAGGATACTGAAACATGGATAATTGATCCCTCTAGAGTCAGTGGGAGAGCCAATTTGGTGTAGTGGTGAAGGCACCAAGCTACAAACCAGGAGACCATGAGTTCTAGTCCAGCCTTAGGCATGAAGCCAGCTGGGTGACTTTGGGCCAGTCACTTCTCTCAGCCCCAGGAAGAAGGCGATGGCAAACCACTTCCGAAAGACCTTGCCAAGAAAACTGCAGGGGTTACTCCAGGCAGTCGCCAGGAGCCAAGATAGATTTCAAGACACATACACAGCCACAAGCCAGTGGAGGGAACTTCTATAGTAATTCCTGGTCAGGCAGCCCAAATTTAAGCATCAACCTAGAGCCTGAGAAGCATGAATACTTGAATGTTTTTTTCTAAGCCTAACTACCATCTTAGTCAGTGTTCTTTTAGATCAGTGTTTTTCAAGCAGTTTAACACACACACACATAGACACACACACACACAAAGCTCACTTGAGCCTAGCCACTTTTCTATCATTAGAGTTCTGCCTCTTGATCAGGGGTTCCAAGATTTTTTTTTTTAACTAACAGATTTCATGGTCTGGAATAATTTGAAAATCCCTGTTTTAAATTATCAGAGGCCAACTAGACAGTTAATTGCAATACTATATGATAAGGGCAAATTCCACATAATCCACTCAGTTCTCTAGATTTTTAAGAACAACTTTTGTTGGAGTAAAGTCCTTCAAATGGCCAGAATACATAGAAGCCTTTCTTTCAATAATTCCTTTTTTTCTCTTTATTTGTAGGAACTGCAGAATGAACCAACTGATAGTTATTTTCAGTGGGCAATGGCAGATTTAATTCTTTGCAGCTAGAATACTTGCTAATATTAGAGACATCCCAACATCCCAATGAAAAAACAGCCCTCATCTTATTCTTCATGTATACATTACTTTTAACATCTGAAACAACGGATCTGAAAAAATTAAACAATATCTGAGATCCTGCATATAAATTTTAAATTTCCTTCAGAATTGAAAAGTTCAAGATTATACAGATAGTTAAATAAAGTAATTGGATAGAAAGAGAAATAGAGAGAGAGATTCAACTAGAAATATGTTTACTGTTTAGACACTTACCTAAGACTTCCAAGATATGTTTCCATCGATCCTTTACCTTTCTACGGATCTGTCGGTGGGCAATGATGTCAAAGCTCAAACATCGGTATTCCTTCGTTAGAATAGGGAGAACAGAAAAAAAAATGAACCACAGAACTATAAATATCAGCAAAATGTGTGTTTTTATGGAGGGCAAGGCATGTGTGTGTGTGAGGGTAGATTTTACAGAGGCATGAAAGCAGGGATGTCCAACCTTGTGGGACCAAAGGGCACATTAATATTTTGAGAATAGATTATGCACACTCAAAATAATCACTACTTAGGATGTATCTCCATTCACAAAATAGCTGCCACAATGGTTGAGGCCAGTCAGAAAACCAGAAGGTAACCACTGAAGTTCATCCCTGCAGCCTTCTTAAGTCTCCAAGATTTTGCGTTTTTTACTGGACAGATGGACAAAGCAAAGCATTGGGCTAGAATCATTTTCTATTTTTATTTTTTTAAGAATGGTTATGGACCTATATATAGTCCAAGGATTTCTGGGAAATAGTATTCTGAAGGCTGGTGCCATTTTGCTGTATGTCAGCTTCTCCTTCTTCATGGAAACTATCTTTAACAAAGAAAAAAGTATTTTCCTTAAATTATCCATAGGTACAAATGGGTTGTACTCAAATGAGGTCTCTCCTCCCCATCTTTAAAGATTGTGGCTACAATTAATCTTTTTACTTATTTCTATAGAAGTAAATGATAAATGATTGCTATCAGTAGTAGTTCTAATAATAGTAATAATACTTTTACTTCTAATCTGTCCAATAATTGAAGTTTTCTGGACAGACCACAAAATTGTTAGACATGCTTTTTAAAGAAGAGTAACAAAAATGCAAATAATAATTGATGAATTGATTGATTATATGCCATCAAGTCATTGTTGACTCTTAGTGACCACATAGATAGATTTTTCTCCATGACGATCTGTCCCTAACCTGGTCTTTCAGGTCTTCCAATGGTGCCATCATCACCACTGTAACTGAGTCCATCCACCTTGTGCTGATTGTCCTCTTCTCTTTCCTTCCACCTTTCCCAGCATTAGAGCCTTCTCCAGAGAGTTAGGTCTTTGCATAATGTGTCCATAGAATAATTTGAGCCTGGTCATTTGTGCCTGGAGTGAAAACTCTGGGTTGATTTGTTCAATGATCCCTTGGTTTGTTTTCTTGGCTGTCCATGGTATTCTCAGGAGTCTTCTCCAACACCAAAATTCCAAGGCTTCAATACTCTTCCTATCCTGCTTCTTCAAAGTCCAACCTTCACTTCCATAGAGTGCCACAGGGAGTACCATGGCTTGTACGATTCTGATCTTTGTCGGTATTTGAATATATTTTCCAAAACCGCCATGGCTGCTCTATCAAGTGCTAGTCTCCAGCGTATTTCTTGACTGCTGGTTCCTTCATTGTTGACGGTTGATCCTAAAAGGCAGAAGTTATCCACCACTTCAGTAACTTCATTGTCAATTCTAAGGCTGGTTGTTCTACCTGTTGTCATTAGTTTGGTCTTCTTTATATTTAACTTTAGTCCCATTTTGCCACTGTGCTCCTTTACTGTTATTACTAAAGCTTGTAGGACCTTGGCATTTTTGGCTATCGGGATAGTGTCATCAGCATAGCACAGGTTACTGATATTTTTTTCCTCCAATTTTAAAACCACACTCATTTTCTTCCAATCCAGCTTTTCTTAATCTATATTCAACATATGCAACCTGAGGAGCCCATCATCTGGCACTATATTGTCAATCATTTTATATTTTCTATCCATGTGGTTCTCTTGGTAAAAATACAGGAGTGGTTTACCACAGCTTTCTCCCACACTGTATTAATTGATGTCTTTGCCATTGTCACTAAAGTGATCATCTGTCTCCAGCATCTTCCTATATTGCTGCTGCCCAATATAGGTGCCTGCTTGCTTTAGCTGGGATGACCTTCACGCCTTGGGTGACCTTGCCGGGAATATATACTCTTGGCATACACCCCCAATGTTCTTTGCTCATCCCTCCCAGGAAGACCCCACCTGCCACGTTGAGGCAGCGCAGCAGGACTTGGGGGGAATTAATAAATAGCAAGGTATAATTTAAAATATAGAACATCCAATACATCCACCTTAAAATCTACTATCTCAATGCACTAAAGCAGATTCTTAAAATCAAACAGACTATTCTCCTGTGCACTCCTTATTGTGGGCATACTCTTTCTCCTTCTTCTTCTTTAAGAGAAATCCCATTAACCCTGGGATCTCTAAAGGATCTATTTTTCTTACTAACACCACTAAATCTTCTTCTGGTTTATATATTCTTTTGTTTTTCTCCTTTATTTCTTTATCTCTCTAAAGTAACATGACTAGGTAGAATGTGAGGAAGATATAGGTCAGCACAGTCACTTACTTAAACAATAAAACAAATAAAATAACTTTTATTAAATAACTTAAAATGGCTTATAAACAGGCTCATTTAATACTAAAACATGTCTATAGCCTTCCTTGCCTTCCCTGGCAGAAAATGTATTAGTGACCTTGTCTCTCTGACAGATTGAGGTTTTCCTAGACTAGAACTCTGAGCTTCTTTCAGACCTGTCCTTCCACCCATATTTCCCAAATCCATTTCTCCTACCTCTGGAATATAAATAGGAAGGTGGTGCCTGGGTTGTCCTGCTTTGATTGGCAGTTCCACTACCCAATTACAAAATTATAAAAATGCCCTGGAGAAGAAAATTGTCTTAGCTGGCTCCAGAAGAACATCAACACATGCCCTATGCAAACTTCCCTGGGGAGGGCATTATGCAAGAGGGGCCTGCCACTACAGAAACCCTATTCCTTGTAGCTACCCACGTTGCTTCACTGGTTGGAGGCCCCTGGAGTAGTACCTCCAAAGGTGACAAAAGCAACCATACTGAAACAAGGTGCTTTTTGAGATACTCTGCTCCCAAACTATTCAGGGTTTCAGAAGTCAGCACTGAGATCTTGAACCAGGAGGCCCAGAAAGAGAATGGCAGTTAAGGAATGGACTCAGTTTTCAGAGACATCATTATCCCTTTCTGATGGTGTTTTGACAAACAAAAGCTAGATTTTCGATCCTCCCATCTCCCAGCCAGATTGTTTTGCTAGTAGCTTCAATGAAAGCCATCAAGTAGCAAGTCAATGAGACAGGGGTGTCTATGGAGAGGTCATAAAAGTTAAGATGTTGGCCACAGCCATATGATACATATAAAGTGTGCTTTGATTACCCGGCTGTGGTCAACATCTTTTCTTTTTACACACATACACACACACACACACCCCGTTCCCCCCCAGACACCCCTGTAATGAGACCTCCATAGCCCAAGCCTGTCTTGGACATACTAGAGTATAATGGATCTTGAGCTTGGTTTATTATTTTTATATTCTTTTTTTGGAGAAAATACTTGTCTGTTTAGGTAAAGTTGCAGTTTAATCTCAGGTGAAATCAGGGCCAATTTTGTAGAAAATTATGAGCCCTCCCACCCCCACCTATCCTATACATGTAGGACTGCACAGCACAGCGTTATTTAGATTACGTTTCAATGCTCTGAGGATGAGAATGAATGAAAACCACATTTCTAGTCCTTCGGAGCTTAGGAAGGCATGGACAAAGCAGTTCACAGAATGACAACATGGCAAACACAGCCCTAACTAGATGTAGCCACAAGCATTTTCAGAATGATCTTAAAAAGACCAATTCATACACTTACACCACTCCTTTTCTTTCTTGGCTCAGGGCAGCAATAACATTCTTGTTTATGAGCATTCTTGGCAAAATACTTCCCCACTTTCACACGGAGGAAACAGCACAAGAAACTATCTACTGTATCTGCCAATATAGCAGGCTACATGTGGCTGAATTCCACATCATTAAATCCAGCTCCATATGAAAGGGCTCCATCTGTATGGGCAACTTACCTCTGACCCCCGGCGCATTTTTGACCTCTTCTCCAGCAGCTTGTGAAGCTCATGATCATCTCTCCTCTCCACATGAGCGTGGTCTGCTGGTTCGTTCCACAAGTTAGCTGCCTCTGACTGCCGCCGTTTCTGTAACTTATTGAAATACTGAAATGTGTCACTGCAACAGAAAATGAAAAAGATTCACTGCTTCGTTTTGGGTGGCGGGGTGGGGGGGAATCCATAGTAATGGATTGCAGTGGAGTTTTGGAGAAGCATTCTAGCCTAGCCTAGTCTTCTCCATGGTATATTATTTATCACATCCAAAAATATTTGAAGGCTACAGCCTTGCCGAGACTGATTTTTCAGTAGACTGAGGGCTTTGTGTGTTCTGATATATTCAAAGATATGTCTGGGAATCAGGTCTCAGGTGTGGCTGTTGAATTGCCAGTCTCAGGCTGTGTGACTTCACACTTGCTGAAGGGTCCATCACCACTCCTCTGGGGCAGTGTTTTTCAGCCTTGGCAACTTTGAGATGTGTGAACTTCAACTTCCAGAATTCCCCAGCCAGCAAGCTGGCTGGGGAATTCTGGAAATTGAAGTCCACACATCTCAAAATTGCCAAGGTTGAAAAACACTGTTCTATGGAGTTGGATAACCTTGGCACCAAGAGGGGATGGAAACAGCAGCACTGGACACTCGATCCTCTCCCCCTTTGCTGAGGGAACCATAGCTTGCATTCTCCTCTGGCTTTGCCAACATGAAGACCTCCTGGGAAAAGCCAGGACATTTCAAGTTGGGGTGCAGCCTCCTTGGATCAAGCCCATGCCTGTTTCTACCCACCCAAAAAGGACAAAGAGAGTGGGAAATACCACTTTTGAGCACCCAATTGGATTGAGTGCCTGTGAGGGGTAAGGAGAGATGAAATGGTGCTGCTTTCCATTCCCTCTCCACTCAGGACCATGGTCCCATAGGGTAAGGCCCAAGCCATTTTTTGCAGGAGGGAGAACAAGAGAAACGAGCAAAGAGAAGCAGCCACTCCATGCTCCTTATCACACATGACTCAGATCCTCCCTTCAGATAAGGTGAAGACAGCCCTGTCTCTGAATGAGAGGAGGATCAGCAGCAGAGGTTTTCAGGAGACCAGGAAGAAGATCCAGCAAGCTCTTCTAAGATCAAACTTCCCCAAGCTTCTTGGGAAAATCCGTAAAAAACCTAGGTTTTACAGAACCACAACCCCACTGTCCTCATGGATACTTTAATGAAATTGTGAGCGGCAGAAGGGTTCCCTGTACCCAGCAATCTCACATTATGTTTCTCCTTCCCTGAGGCATTCAAAAAAGGAGCCCTTGAGAAGCAAGGGGAGCTGCTAGGGCAGTGAGGGTGTCAGCCCTATGAGATATGTCTCTGGTAACTTTAATGGACTTTTGGTGACATCAGGACTTAAAACTGAGGTTTTAAGGATTTGTTTGTAGATAAAAGATGAGGTTTGGGAAGAAGAGATCATTTGTTCTATTCTAAGAGAAGGTGATTAAGTTATTAAAATTGTTTATACTTGCTGTTCTTGAAGGGGGAAGTCATTTCTTTATATATTTTCTTTTTCTTTACTATATTCTTCTTTTCTTTCTTTTCTATTTTTCTTCCTATTTTTTCTTTTTCTTTATTTCTTTTCATTTGTATTAGTTTTTATTATTGCAATTGTAATTTTTAATAAAATTACAATATTTTAAAAAAGGAAATGAAAAGGGAAAAAAAGAAAGAAAAAGGGGGGAAAATAGCAATGACAAGATCTCCCAAGACTGAGGAAGTCCTTGGTGCAGATGACAGGAACACCTACTCTCTAGAACAAGCCAGTGCCTAACCTGGGAAAGGAAGCGTCTCCTTCCACCTGAAGTGACATTAAAACCTGGTCTAACTCTGCCTCTGAAGCAAATGGAAGGGAAAACCCAATCTAAGATGCTCTGGCTCAATGATAGGAAAAGCAAATATTTCTCTTGCTGGCAAAGGAATACTTAGGAGATAAACTCTGCACAATATGAGCTGTTAGATCCATGTAGCAGCTCAGGTTGAATAATTATTTCAGTCTAGTCATTAAAAAACACCAACGTTGCAGAGGAAAGCTACACTGCAGAATTAAGTACTTTGTTTTGATCTAATGCATTTCCTTTATATGTGGTTTTGGGGGATTATTGTAATTGACAGTTATGTTACCACCATAATGAAATTAAATGCAAGAGATTAAGAGGTCGGACACTGTTGAAAGCAGGGAAGAAGAGAAGTCTGCCTTGAAGCTAAATAAAAACACTCATAGACATGGTCCTATTTATACCAATAGCAAGCCATTTCTTTATTACATTACTGGATGGCAGCATCCAGACCTAAGGAGATAGTGTCAGCAGGGTTGGACAAGCATCCCCAAGGCTGCAGAAGTATTATTTTTATTGATTTTATTTATTAAACAAATCTATATAGCAACCCATCTCCCAAAAGGAACTCCACCCCGTGCCAACGCTATCCACATCCTGGCCCCAGTGCCTGGAGGAAAAGCCGGATCTTCACCATTTTCCTGAAGGCCAACAGGATTGGGGCCATCTGTATCTCTGGGTAGAGGCTGTTCCATAAGGCAGGCACCATAACAGAGAAGGCATGCTTCTAAGCCCCCACTAGGCAACACTGCTTCACCGAGAGCACCCAGAGTATGCCCACCCTGCCAGATCTATAGGCAGAAAACATTGGGGATAGGCAGTCCCACAAGTAAGCTAGCCCCTTGCAAGTACATTTTTGTCCCTTGCTAAAAGCCTAGAAAAGCACAGGGAAGAGATCAGCCCGAGAACAGAACGTGTTGAATACAAAGAGTTGTCCTTTTGTTGGAATTAGAGGAGTGACAGAAAACAAGGGGAACCAGCCACAAAATGGACTATTTATTTATTTATTTATTATTAAATTTGTATGCCGCCCATCTCCCCCCAACGGGTGACTCTGGGCAGCTCACAATTAAAATCAGAAACCCCAT